CATTTATATTTTGGGAAATTATTTTTGGTTTTCTTTAATAAAATATTTTTTTTTTCCGTTTTTATTTTAATGTTCTCTGCATTTTTTGATTATATTGATACAAAAATATTACTTTATTTAATTTGATTTTTAGATACTTATTTTATTTGTTTTCTGTTCTTAATTTAATTTGGTTTTCCGTCGTTAATTTCATTTTATTTTAATTTTTGGATTTTATATTAAACAATTTTTATTGAGCTTGAGGCCGTTTTTAATTGAAAATTATTGTGGAAAAACACCCAAAATTTGTAAATGGTAGATTTTGAGTTTTATGTTAAACAAAAAAAAAACATTTTTTATATCAATTAATTTTTAGGATCTTATTTTATTTATTTGTCTTTTTTATTTTAATTTTCTTTTAATATAAGACTTTTTTTCAAATAAGTTTTGTTTTTTTTTTAATTTTTTTTTTTATTTTATTCTTTTTTGATTACATTTTTTCTTTTGGTAGTTAAATTTTTAAAAATGTTTTCTATTAATTTTTGTTTAACTTTTATTTTTTTAATTTTTAATTTAAAGTTCTTTTATTTATTACTTTTGACTGTTTTAAAAAAGGAAATATAAACATGTATATTGTTTTTTTAAGAGTTTTGTCCTTCTAAAGACTGTATTGAATTGAAAGACAGTTGCCAAAAATGCCCTGTACTTACTCTTCTTATTTTGTCCAAATATCTTGCCTTTGGGACTAGTGTTATGAACAAATTATGTTTAAAATAATTTAAAAACCGAATATTATAAACTTACTGCTGTCTTTTTTTATCGTTTTTATTGCCTTTTTATTCAATTTTTAATAGTTGTGTTAAAACATTTGTTACTATTTATGCCAACTTAAATAATTTGCGTATAATTATTATAAAAAAATTCAACAATTATAAAGAATAATCTGTTAATAAGAAATAAATATTTCAGTAGATAAATTTTAGCATACAAATATTTTCCTCATTATCAATTAAAAACAAACAATCTCAATGTGTTAGCTAAGTCTCTTAATAAATTACATAAAAAATGAAAAATAGTTAAACAAAACACAGTCAACTCCACTTAGAAGGGACGTGAAAGGACAATTCAATACAGATCATATTGTTGTTAGAGTATTTATGTAAGTAAATTTTTACTTGCTCATACATCTTCAGTTCAGTTGGGTTAAATGCATCAATATTTCATTAAGTTCAGTAAAAAACAAATATTAAATTATAATCTATAAGAAATAACATGAAATACTAGTGATGGCCACGTGAAATGGTTGAGGGACAAGCTTTATTGATTTAAAGCTTCGTCGATCAAGTGAAATAATTCAAACTAATTTAGATAATGTATAGGTATTGCGATGGCTGAGGCTGCTAAATATGACACCTCGGGTTATGTCAGAAATAAATCCAGTGATGCTTGTTCTGGATAATCTGGATGCAGAAAATCACTAAACGGATTGAATGTATCCAATGCCACTAAGGGACTAATGCATGTCGTTGGCGGTTGTTCCATTGAAAAGTCCAACGACTCAGGCGCTGTGCCAAGAAACTGTAAGCTCAGCTCCAAAGGCGCATCAATATCACCTAAAATATTATGGTCCACAGCCGACTTGCCCTCCAAAGCATTAGCGCTGCCGAAGAGCCTATCGAATTTGTCTTGCAATGGACTGTGACAGGGATCGGAAAGATGCAGCGATTCGCCATCAGATTCTAGTATTAGGCTATTCAGCTCGGATATGGATGGCACAAAGCCATTGGAGTAACTTGGACTGGTTATACTATCGAGGAAGCTAGAAGAGTGTGATGAGAGTGAATCTCCACTGCAGGTAACAAAAGAGGAAGCAGAAGTGGCTGTACTTGACGTGGCACGGCTTGACTCTGGCGTGGTGTTACAGCTATTATGCTGCGTTATCAACGGTGACTTTAGTTCCTTCTTTTTACGTTTACCCAAACGTTTGGGCGGTTTTTGCAACACTGCGCTAGCCGTTGTACGTCCTGTTGTCGCCTTATTTGAAGCCTTGTTATTTTTCGACGCTGCGGTTGTAGATTTCGACTGTGCTTTCAAAGGCTTGGAGGTGACTTTCTGTTTTATCACTGGCTCTTCATTCCCATATAGGAAGTCTAGTGGCAATTCACCTTTAAAGTTGGGATTTTTCAGCACCTCCGTTAGCAAACTGATGTATTTCATGGCCAAACGCAACGTCGTTATTTTCGTCAGCTTCTCATTTGTGGGTCCCGCCTCATCGACTGCGATGCTTTGCGGCACACAATGCCGCAAATTCTCAAACGCTGAATTGATTTCACGCATGCGCGTACGTTCGCGCGCATTGGCGGTTTTTCGACGATATTTACTAAGTGGCGGCGCTTTCGACTTGGACGTTGTAGTGTTTTGTGTGCGCTGCGGTCCTGTGGTCGCTTCGCTATCATCTGTAAGAAATAATTAGTTGATACTTTAGTACCGACACTACCATTAGTTGAAGATTGTATGCACGCTTATGTGCGAGCTTACCCTTGTGGTTTGAACGTTTCGGCAACTCGACCACACTGGCTAATCCAAGTCGACGCTTTTGGCGTTCACGCAGCGAATATTTCTCTTTGCGGCTACTGACTTTACTGCTTTTACACTCTTCTGCACCCCGCTGGCTGCTGGCTAATAGTGTGCCGTAATCTTGCATTCTGCGGCACAATTAGGATTTATTGAGGAGAGCTGAAATGAGTCAGAATGAAAGATGCATTTTTGATTAATTTTTTAGACAAAAGTAAGCATGAGCTAAATATTAAATGGCTATTATTTCTGATATGATTCTCATTTATCATAGATAGATATGCATTTGGACTATGAAATAAATTTCAGACCATAATTGGTCGATTCACGTTTTGCACGTCATTTGGGACCATAAAGAAAGTAGTTACGGTGTATTCGACCTTTATCTCAAACTGGAATGTCTCAAATGAGGTATCTAAGTCGGACCACCGGCATATCCGATTCGATATAGAAGCCCAAAGGGTAACAAACCATGTTTACAGAAATCCCAGAAAAATAAACTGGAAACTTTTTCGCCTCCACATAGAGCGGGAAATGAATAGGTCTACGGCACCAATTTCATCCGTCGTAAAAGGATGTCCCTTGGTGGAACGATGCTCTCGGGAAACTTAGGAAAGCAGCCAGGAAACTTTTCAATAGGGCAAAGTCAACAGGTGACTGGGCCGCCTACAAATCAGCCCAAACCGCTTACAACTGTGAGCTCAGAAGGTCTAAAAGAGCTTCGTGGTGTGGCCGACTTTCTCGCAAAACGTGGAGCCCAAACGCGAATGCATGGTCCCGAGCCTTTCTGTGGTACATCTAGAGGATACACTGCAGAACTTCTTAGGAGTTGGGAGGAATCTCAGATTGCTTCCCACTGGCGTAATGGGGCTTTCTGTAGAGGTAGAGATGGACTGCAGGTTCTGTGGGCTGGTGGAGGAAACCTCAGAGCACATTCTGTGTGACTGCCCGCGTATCATGAATAGCAGACTGATGCACCTTGGGGAACGATTGTCTTCTCCATCCAAGATTTGGAAAACGGCACCCTCCAATGTGCTTAATTTATTGAATAGCCTAAGGTTGGAGTGACTACAATTAGGGTTTAGCACAATAGATCTTTTAGGTCGCAGCGCGAGTATACCCGACGTACTAATAATAACTATGGTGTGTGGTCTTGTAAATATAGCAACCCTTAGATCCTAATGAGGCCATAGCAAAATGACCATCTGCAAGGGAGCCTCTCGTATTGATTAACTTAAACGTGGTGTAATCTGTGGCATAGCCAGCTACTATCTAGCGAATAGTTTGAATGTAAATATATGAAATTTTTCCTCAAAATACCATGGAGCTAGAAGTATGAATAAGAGGACCTAATCGCTCTTGGGTACACATACCTTAGGTTGCCCTCTTTGAAAGGTTTTGGAAATAAAAAAATATTCAAAAAAATTTGATCCACCGGTCTAAACGGATTACAAATACATTTTTTCGCACCCTATAAACCTTCATATCATATCAGGATAGTCTTCGCAATCGAAGTGTGTCTTTGAGAATGACTTGGTAGCAGGACAAATGGAGGCCATATACTCAGTTAAAATGGCATCAATGTTTGTGGAAAGTGGTAAAACTACCTAGGATTTGAAGACAACGAAGCCCAAATGCACTTGCCTGGTTTCGAGCCTTTTCACGGTATATCTAAAAGATCGGAGCTACATTAGGAGCTGGGAAGTATCTCACAAAAAAATGAATAAATCCTTCCAGGTGGAACTCCAAAATACTCCTTGAACCTGACTGTTTGGGGTACCATTTGAATAAATTTCGCCTTCTGCAGGCACGGACCTCATATTTGTGGGTTGGTGGACGAAACCCCACATCATATTCTATGGGACTGCCCAGGAATCAAGAATGGCAGACTGATACACCATGAAGAACTATTATCTTCTTTGGCAGCCAAGTGACAATCAGGGGTCTAGGTCGCCACCAATTACTTAAGGTTAAGGCAGATTTGGGTTCCAGGGTACAGCGATATTGCAGGAAACTGCATGTTTGATGAATAGCCCAAACAGGGTACACTCGAATTCCCTTCGTAACCTGCGAACTCTTTCTGTACAGGTGGCTGTTAGTTGGCTCTCCTGGTGCAGTGCGAAAACACCCGAATTTCAAAGTGGTTTAAGCCATTGCTTGTATAAGACACAAATACTATTAAGGAAGAGATCAGCAAGGAGCGAGAAGAACATAATTGGTGATGCTTTGGAGGACAACCTTAATGAGTTAAAACTTAAAATAAGTATTCTAAATGAAAAATCCGGAATTTTGTTATGGCTTCTGTTGTTCGAAGACTTAAAAGTTGCGTTGTGTTGAATAGAGTCTTTTATTAAAAAAAAGTCGTATAATCCAAAAAACGCAAGGAAGCTGCACCGCGAATAAAAATAATAGTTTTGTAACGTTTCCCAAAGAGTCTTAGTAAATACACACTTCACTCGCTGCAAAAAGTGTTTGCTACCATAACTGCAGCATACATTTCTGCCTAATAAAATTGGCATCCACTGTACACACACTAAAATACAAATCTTTAATGCGCATGCGCACAAAACTAAGTCAAGGATACTGTTGTCAACAACGTCTTCGACAAAAGGAAATCTGAATTAGCAAGCAATTTGAAGTGAATGTCTGTCCATGTGGTTGGTGTTCGTTCACCTACAACCAACTTTAAATAAGGAAAAGTCCAATGTAAATGCGATTGCAACTTAAATATATTTTTTGTTGTTGTTAGCTTTTGCGCTTACAACGGCATTAGTGAATTTAAAATGTTTATTTATTTTATCGAATTAATTGTTTTTAATATATACGCGATTTTCGGCATTGTTGTTGTTGTTGTTGTTGCCATTGCAATTGGGACATTATGTAGTTGTCGTGAGAATCCAATGCTCGTGTAAGCCAAACATGAATGCCATGAAACTTCCTATTAAGGAATTGAAATAGACAAAATCGGCAAATCGGTGGCGACAGAGAGACAGCGACTGCAACAACAAAGACCCGACGACGACCACGACGGCCAAATCTACAATGAATATACCCGTATATAACTATATACGTATATTTGTTGCCCATTGCCGGTGTTGCCTAATCCAAGAGGTAAAGTGACGCCACCACTCACTCATTCATTCACTCGTTGACTTGTGCGGTCTAAGCCACACTACGCCCTGGTTAAAGATTTCTTATAATAATAATCGCAACACTAGGCTCTAAATGGCAATCGCATTTGTATACAGTGGTGGTTAAAAAAATTAGGATAGACAGTTTGCATGATCAACGAATAAGTAGAGATGCTTCCTATCTCTGAATATTCAAAATAAGTAACCATTAATAGAAAACAGAGGAAGTAGCCTAGAATATAAACTTAGGTAAGTCTAGTCTTAACCGCATCCAGAAGAAGCTCGAAATTTTCCGCATTTTCACGATGCAAAGCCTTTGAAGCAAGCTTTCTGAATAGATAAAAAAAAACTCGTTTGCGCGCACTCAGCAAAGCTCAAAGCTTACCGCAGAAAATCCGCCAGCTTCCAAAACTTAATACTGTAATATTTTTTCAAGAGTAGCGATATCTAATTCTACCTTAGCGACCTTTTCTATATAAAAACATGCTTACGCATATAGACTTGGTTGATGCATTTCCAAATCGTTCGCTATTTTACCTACCCTTCTACTAATTAAGATTAATTGTGAATTTGTGTACGGTGTAAATTCCTCGGTAGGATCAAAAGGCTGCTCTAAAGTTCCCAAAGAGAAGGTAAAAAGTTAAAGAAAGGGTAACAGGGAAATTCTGATTAAGATAGTTGCAAGTCTTTTGTTAGCAAATTTAAAAACGAACAGTAGAAAAGATTTTGTTTATTCTGACACGAAAGTCTTACAAATAAAAGCTCTCTTGAAAAGTTCCATAGGGAAAAGCTATTTTGACAGAAAGCACTTGCATATCATTTTGCGTAGGTAGGGCCATTCGACGAGAGATCCCAAATGCGAGTCCTTTTGCAGTTGATTTTTTTAAATTTATTAACTTTTCTTTTTATACCCGAGCGCACTTGTGCACAAGGGTATTATAACTTTGTTCACATAACGGTTGTTTGTAACAGGCAAAACGAATCGAGATAGATATAGACAAATGTATACATAAATGATCAGGATGAAAAGAGAAATCGATTAAGCGGTGACTGTCTGTCCGTCCGTCCGTCCGTCCGTCCGTCCGTCCGTCCGTCCGTCTGTCCGTCTGTGCACACGATAACTCGAGTAAAAATTGAGATATCTTAACGAAACTTGGTATGTGCACTTCTTTCGGGCGTAGGACGGATGGTATTGAAAATGGGCAAAATCGGACAATAACCACGCCTACCTCCCATATAACGGTAATTTTCAGAAATACAAAAACTGCGATATTTTAGTAACTACTGAAGATAATTCACTCAAAATTGATATTTATAATAAATTTTAGACGAAAAATAAGAATATTAACTTTTTTTTGAAAATGGGCGTAGCCACGCCCACTTATGGTTACATGTGTATATCTTGGTAACCGCTGCATCAATTTATTCCAAACTTTGCACAGTTGTTGGCCTTAATACAGCATACTAAATGACAGAAAATTTTAAAAATCGGACAATAACCACGCCCACTTCCCATATAACGGTAATTTCCAGAAATACGGAAACTGCGATAGTTTCGTAACTACTGAAGATAATTCACTCAAAATTGATATTTATAATAAATTCTAGACGAAAAATAAGAATATTAACATTTTTTTGAAAATGGGCGTAGCCACGCCCACTTATGGTTACATGTGTATATCTTGGTAACCGCTGCATCAATTTATTCCAAACTTTGCACAGTTGTTAACCTTGGTATAACATACGAAATGGCCGAAAATTTTAAAAATTGGACAATAACCACGCCCACTTCCCATATAACGGTAATTTTCAGAAATACGAATACTGCGATATTTTAGTAACTACTGAAGATTATTCACTCAAAATTGATATTTACAATAAGTTTTAGACGAAAAATAAGAATATTATAAATTTTTGGAAAATGGGCGTAGCCACGCCCAGTTATGTTTACATGTGTATATCTTGGTAACCGCTGCACCAATTTCTTCCAAACTTGGCACAGTTGTTGGCCTTGGTACAGCATACAAAATC